AAAAGAGGATGACGGCATTGAACTGACCGACCCCAGGTAAATTCAGAAGTGTTTAACTCAGTTTATAGTTTATGTGATTGAAGTTCATTGAACCGGGTCTGTATTTCAACACTTCATGGGTATACCAACTGAGCTAGGCCCTTTTGAATAGTAATAGGGGTAACTTCAGTAGTCTAAGAGTGACAAAAACGAGTTATAATTTATAAATTATAATTGAACTACGGCGCAAGATACAGTTTGCAATTGCGCTTTGGACACCCTACCTGGCCAGAAAGCTGGGTTGTATACATTGCCCGGACTGCAATTTGAAACTGTATCTTGGCCCATAGTGCAATTATAACTAATTTTTGTGACTCCCGCATAGTTTCCCCATACTAGGGAATATTTCTGCACATCAAGCATGAGATGTGGGCACAACAGATTGAGAAGTTATGCTGCTCAGCAATTCCATGCACTTCACCCAAGGGGGCACACGTGCAAGGAGAATGAGTGAGCAATAGCGAAATCACAGAATTCCACAATGCATAATCACACTGAAAGCCAGATAGTCAAAAACTGTCCAGAAAGCAGAAATGCACTGATGTCACACCGAATGAGAACCAAAGCAGCGCGCTCAATTGTCAATGAAAGCATATTCTCGCCACCACCAACAATGCAATCAGAGCTCTTCCCCCTTTCCGCGCTCAGCGCCCAGACTACGATCCTACAGCTACCAACAACGCAATCGGAGCTCTTCCCCCTTTCAGCGCTCAGCACCCAGACTACCATCCTACAGCTACTCTACTAGCCTACAAAATGACGAAGCAACGAGTTGACGTCAGCAGCAGCAACCAAAGTACATGCAGATGTCGACCATGCAGACCTCCGCCAAGACTAGGTATGTGCCCTCACATCACTCTCAACTCGCCATCTCCCTGCTCACCCTTGACTTCTCCCCAACCCTCCTCTCTCACTAAGGATCACTGCCTAAACCCGCTGACCATCCAGGCCCAAGCCCGACTATGGGGGCTGGGATATGGCGCTGCCCGCTTTCAGCACCCTCACTTGCGACCGCGCTCACCCTCCAGTGCCCAGCACGCAGCTAGCAGGCCCGAGCTAGCGCTCCAGCAGCACCGCCGCTCGTACTCGCAAGTGCCCGAATCCCTCACTCTGGGCCAGCCTCTTTCCTATATGGAAACCAGCCACGCTCTTTCGGCCCTGGAGAGTACAGCCGTGTGTCCTCTACCTTCTGGTTGGGCCAAAGTGTCTGCGCCCGGGCTCATACGGATAGTGGCCTGGGACCCAATTGGTTAGGCGCGCCCAACCACCCCAGCGTAAACGTGAGGTGTTCCCTGCTTCATTGCATTGCGAGAAGAGCCTCGAAGGCTCACGAGTGTTTCTGCTTTTCATGAGCAGGGCAAGTGTAACCAACCAGTGCGCCGCAACCGTCTGGCGCCCTACAAGGTTTTGCAAAATTGTCGAATTCAGGCCTCATCGAGATTCGGGGGTCCGTCTTCACTTAGGGCGGGCATATGCTTGCTGTAGGGGCGACTTACAGGTATGCCAAGGGCTCATACCTCACACATGTAACGAGCAACCACCATGCCAAAGGGACATGCCCTGTGGATGCTGATTCTGCGCTGGGTGAACATTCTTTTTTTTTTTTTTTCGTGGATGCAACACAGAGTTTCTTTTTTTTTTTTTTACAAGAGTACCAGAAAATAAAACAGAGCGGGACCCAGGCTCCGCAAAACTCGGTGCGCAGTGAAAATCAGGGTCAGCAAAAAGAGGCTTGGAGGTAGTGGTGGTTTAAGAGCAGATAAAAGCATGAGCTGTATTATCATAAACCTGGACACGATCTTGCCCAGGTGCATGCTACCCGATCAGAAATATAGCACACACACACCGGTAGCGGTCCTCACTCCGCCAGTCCGTCCTTGAGATGGCTTGGACACTGCAGCACCTCCTCAACCAATCAACAACATCCCCACTATCAGCATGGTGCCTTGCACCTGCCATCTTCACAGAAATAGAATGTCTGGTCATCATAGCTGCACCTGGGTAACTTCCAGACCAGATGCAGCCATAAAGAACGGGTGTTTTATTCGGGTGAAGACGGTAGGGTCATTTTGCAAGCCAAAGTTGTGTGATCCGCCCCCTGCCACAGCTTAACCACCAGCACCTCAGAGCCTCTTTTCCCCCATGCAGATTTCTGATACACCGCTACAAAAACCAAACCGGCTCGGTCACATTTCTTTCTGTTTATGCCTGGCACCACCAGCCCTTTCAGTCCGGAAAGGCCAACCGCTGCAGGACTCGGACGTTAAACCGCTAGTACACGGCCCCAGCCTTGCAGAAAGTTTTTTGTCGCCACAAGCAAAACTCGGAGGGCCACGTGGCCAGGCCCGCCGTTGAAAAAAAAATTGGGAAGCCTCCGAAGTGGTGCGGGTTTCATGCTGACATCCGCGGGCTGATATGCGGTGTACTGGTGCTTTAAACCACCACTCCCTCCGCCACCAGGACATAGCCCTCCCAGTGAGCTCGGGCGGGTTTTGAGGGAGGATGGCGATCGGAGGCTGAAACGACGGCAATGAAACATTCCGCTCTGCAATTTCAGCCAGGCAACTTTGGCAATTTTTCGCAGTCAGAAACGTTCACAGAGAATTCTGAAAATTTGAGCACCGGTAGATCAGGTCGTGATCTTTCCAGGAAAATAACAGATTTTTTATTAAAAAAAAACATTTCGACCGTGAAGCAATCGCCGCACGGATTCAGTGCATGTTCCAGTTTTGTCACAGTGCTGCAGGCCAACGGGAAAAGCACTCCGACCTTCTGCGATTTTTTATCATTTTTCACGCTCCAAAGAATATGCGTCAAAGAGTAGAATTTCCATAGATTTGCTTGTGATCTTTCCAGCAAAAATATATTTAAAAAATATATATATATATCGTCAAATAGAACTGCCCGGTAAATATATATATATATACAGTTTGTCACAGCCCCTCGTTTGTTGTCCTCTTCTCCCTCTCTGCCTACGGTTTACCGTCGGCAGTTCTATTTGACGATATATATATATATATATATATCGTCACAAATAGAACTGCCCGGTAAACCGTAGGCAGAGAGGGAGAAGAGGACAACAAACGAGGGGCTGTGACAAACTGTTTCGTCGGAGTTTATATATATATTTTTGCTTAGACCACAAAATCGCATGATGCTCTCAAGTCATACAAGAACAAGCGAAGAGCCAACTCCTCAGGGCATGATGCTCACAAGTCCTACCTAAGATGTGACAACAGTGGCATCTTGTTTTTTTTGTTTTTTTTGTTTTTTTTTTCATCTAAAGGTGTGACAACAGTGGCTTGCCGTCAAGGTGTACAGGCAACTCCACCCCACTAAGGCAGACAAGGGTATCACAGTGTGACAATACAGTCACAAGGGTCTGCATGTGACTAGGCGCAGATGCAAATACTGAGGATCACAGGGAACGGCCATTATCATCGATCGATAGTCATGCCTCCGTTAAGTTAAACAGAACCATGCCAGATGGAATGGATGACTCCAAGCGAAATGAAATGTAAATGGACGGGCGCAGCATCGAGTGTCACCGCCGCAAAGCGGTGGCCTATTTAATTTCATTTGGTGATCACGGTACGCAACCCGGGGTGCCGGTGGCCCGGCGGAAACATCCATGAGGCGCTGACAATCAAGAGCATACGGGGTGGAGTCTTGTGTACACCAAGGTTAACACGAAGGTTAACACGAAGGTTAACACGAAGAACACACCAACAGGGGGTTAACAGGAAGGTTAACACGAATAACACACCGTCTTCCCCCAAATGGAACGTGTACAGTCATTAAAGCTGCATTTGGGGGCAACCTTTGGTGCAGATTACAGCCACAACAATGACCATACGTTCTGTTCGGCGGAAGAAGGTGGTGCTATATGTTCAAGTTGGGAAAGTATGAATCTGTCATAGTACCAGTGGGGCCTGGGCTAATAACTCCCTATCCAGGGGACCCCGCACCTATGTGCACTTGCTAACAGAAAGCTGCCGATGCTGGGGAGGGCCTTTATAAGTAAATCTGGCCACTAATTATACATGCGAGGAACCCCCTCCCCTTCGTACTACACACAGCCGCATAACTGAAAACAAGCCCTCTCAAATGAGACATGGAAACGTTCACACAGAGGGTTTCCCCATATCTGGGACGGGGGGGGTGTTTCAAAAAAGCATTCATCTGGTGCATGACAACATGTGGGCTGACATTCGGCGAAGGGCCGTACACTCATACAAAGATCATCCTGAATTCACAGCCCGTAGGGTTGCGTTTACACACCTGAGTCATTTCATTTTCTTCTTCGTTCATCATACCGGTCATTCGTGAGGGCCCAATCGTCGTTGGAAGGGGGTTAGAATTGAAGGCAGGGGGGCTTCTTCTAGGGGGGCGGGCAGTCCTTACAGGCCCAGGACCGGTATTGGCCACGGCTATGGAGAAAAACAAAATGGCGCACAGCCCCCCCCCAGGGCCCAGAACTTAAACGTCAGTCCACTTTTTTTTCGAATAGAAGGACACTTCGAATAGAAAGCATATGTGTTGTAATCGAATACACAGCAGATGTTCACTATTCGGATTTCGAAAAGAAAAAAAAAAACATTCAATGGGAATCGGACATTCCCCACACCACCTATTAACCACGTCTGTGCTCCCGGTCACTGACACGCTGTGTGCTCCCGGTCTCTCTCTCTCTCTCTCTCTCTCTCTCTCTCTCTCTCTCTCTCTCTCTCTCTCTCTCTCACACACACACACACACACACACACACACACACACACACACACACACAATCTTGGAGTTGTGTATAGTGAACATGACAAACCACATCAACAGACAAACTACGGGCTGCACACCCATGCCCTCACGGTAAGTCGATGCATCAGGCCTCAATAAGGGTCACATTCAGTGAATTTTGTCAACATGTGCGCCCATGTGGCCTGCCCATTGAGCAGGAATACAAGGGAAAAAAGACTATGCTTGTGCTCAGAATGCCGGGTCGGTTAACAAGCACACTTGCACACATTTCCTCAAAAGTAATTTACAGTTCATTGCCCCCCAAAAATGGGGTCTGCTAGGCCATTCCTTGTTGAATGAATTTAAAAATCAAAGAGAAACCCACAAGCTGAAGATGTCACCGAAGCGGAAGGTAGCAACATTTCTATCATGGCTGGGTTATGACAAGAGAGGAGGGGGTTAGGACCAGATAACCTAAAATTCTAGCCCTCCTCTTGCTGCCTCTGCAAGGGCCAAGAGGGGTAGAAAGGGGGGGGGATAACCTAAAATTCTAACCCTCCTTCTCTTGCTGCCTCTGCAAGGGCCTTAATTCGCCCATGATATACAAAACCCCCTCGATCGTATGCCACCTTAGTTACGCCTTTCTCCAAACACAGCTTTGCAATCTCTTCACCAACACGCGTTGCTGCAGTCTGCACACGTGCACAGCCGCCATGAAAGAGAGAGATCTCACAAGTGTCAGCACGCAATACATGAGATGGGCAACACTCCACGACGACGGTCGAAGCAATCCGATAGTCACAATTCACAAAAAGATAAACATACCAAAGGCAACAAAGCTGTCAAAAAACAAACAAACAAACAAACAAAGACAGGACCATGAGAGGCCATAGTGCTCTTGTATGGCCAGCAGCATATAACTCCTTTGAGTACCGCGTGAGAACCACAACCTCTGCACGTGTTTAAATGTGCTAGCGAGTCTAACACAAAGGCAATGATAATCAGAGTGCAAGGGCAGACAGTGTCTCTGTAGTTGAGCGCTTGGTGCCCGCAGACCCATCGGTGCAAAGCACACTTGCACCCAAACACAAACAGACGATGGCAACAAACCCATAAAACGTTAAACAACCCGCATCCAGCCAAAACACACACAGACACCCAAGAAAACAGAACAGCATCCATCACCAATGATAAAGAGCCCTCCAATGTTCTTACGAGGCACAATCCATCGATAAACGCCATCAAAGCGTCCTTCATACAGCACCTCCAACGTTCCTATGACGCGCAGTTCATCGATGAACGCGTTAATGCGACCTTCACACAGTTGATTGATGAACGCGTCAATGCGACCTTCACACAGCACAGAGATAATCATTCACTGCATGCGATTCATAATCGCAAAGAGACCACGTTGAAAACACAACACGACACGGCACCAGAAGGAATACTCCCAAAAGCACCCCGGTCGCCCTATTACATGTGCTCCAAAACGTCCTCAGGGACATCCGTTAAAATTTGAACGATACAAAGAAGATTCGCATGGCCCCTGCGCAAGGATGACGCGCATTTGCCGTTGATATAAAAAAGAAAAGACAAAAAAGCATGTGCTCCAAACACAAAGACAGGGAATCTCGCCCTCCTCCCACAGGGATTCCGATCGACGGCCGTAACCTTTCCAACGGCATCCATCTCTAGGAGTAGCCCACCCAAAAGAATAGTGTTCAGGCCCAACTGCAAGGCACAGCTGGTCCCATACCATATCAGGGACATGAGGCATCTGAAGAACACCAGAGGCCCAACTGGCCAAAGCACCCTGAGGCCTACCAAGCCATGTGCTCTGAAAGGCACAGCAGAAGAGAATCTCACGTGCAGTTCGAACTATCTTAGTTCGGCTACCGGCCAATGAGATTACCTTCTGGTGAGAACACATGAAACCAGGTCTATACCAGGAATCCCGGTATCATGCAATCCGTGTGCTGCAGAACATACATCCAATGAGAATGCCAAAAACACTCTCTTCATCCATTCATCCATCCATCCATCCATCCCTGTCTCTTCCTCCGTCTACCTATCCGTTCAATCTTCTGTCAGAGCCCCACCCCTGCACCATTCCTCACATCCTACATCACTCCCTCACTCTCCTCCTCCTGTCTCTTATACACATCTAGTAAGATAGAGGTATTGGGCCAAGGGGGTACGAAAGATAGCACG